GTGTATGGGCAGAGGGAGGAGTGCCCAACCATATGCAGCAGGAGGGTGTCAGGGGGCACATCCCCTCCCAGATCTGTGTGCCCACAGCAGGGTACAGGGCTGCAGCTTAGCTGGACTGGTACCAGGCAGGAGCTGCCTCTGCAGGCTAGTGGGCAGGACCTGGCATGGGAGGGCAGAGCGGGGTGGTGAGGCTGGGAACTGCGTGTCAGTTGCACCGCCAGGGAGTAATGCCACACTGCCAGCAGCACAAGGGGACTGGGGAGCAGCCATGCTGCCCTTAACTCCTCCTGCTGCCAGCTGTTTGCGCCCCAGGCTGCAGTCCTACCCTGGAGGGGAGGTGAGGTGGAGGGCAGCGTGGGCAGCCTTAACGGAACAACAGTGACGATGGCCAGGCCATGATGGTGGAGTGGAGCTGCAGTGCAGCGTGTGAGCGGCTGGTGGTAAGAGGCGAGAGCAGCGCTGTGTTACTCCATGGCAGTGTGACTGATAGATTCTGGTGGTGGTGGGAGCAGGGGCAACGAGTCTTGCCGTCCTGCTGTACCCTCCTGTGCTAGCTTCTGCCTGCTGGTCTACAGAGGCAGCTCCTGCCCAGTGCTGGTCTGCCCAGGCTGCAGTCCCATGCCCTGTTGTGGCTGCACAAATCTGGGGGGAGGGGGCCACATGCCTCCACCATTCCCCACTGATGCATTGCCCTGACCCCTTCCTGGGAGTGTGTATAGTGGCAAAGAGCCAGCCCCTCTGCCAGCTTCCACCTCCCTAGATGAGCAGCCTGTGGCTCTGTTCCAGTATCCAGTTGGGCCCCGCAGCCACATGTTTCCGTCCAGGCCCTGCATACCTCCCTGGCTGGGCAGTACCCCCAGCTGTCAACCCTGTCCTGCTCCTTTCATCACTGTGGGGGTTCATTGTGAGCTGTTGCCTCAGTCTGCCCCCCCTGCCCCCCCCCAACATCGCTATGTCTCCCACACCATAAACTTAACTGCAGGCAGTTGGAGGATCTGCTCTCCTTATTGCTGGCCATGTGCATGTATGCACACATGTACGTGGTGCCCCCTGCATCCGATTGGACTCCTCCCACTCCCCGCAGCCCCTTGCAGGCTGGAAACTCTGCCAGTCTGCATGGGGACGTTGATAGTTCCCTGCATTTTTATCTTTTAAAGGAGAAAATCCACATTTTTCTGTGGCAGAATCAACACTTATCAGTAGTTAGCTATTGTCTACTTTGTGATAGATATTTTATATAATATATTGCGAGACAGTAAAGAATGGGGGGGTGTATTTTTTTTGCATTGAACACCTCTTGAAGCTGACTGATCATCAGAAGCAAATACCATTTTTTTGTGGTTTTTTAGTATGCATGAACCTTTGAAAATAACTGTTTTAAACTTTATGTATAAATCAATAGGACTCAGGGGACTCTGTGTACTGATTAAGACTATAGTAGTGAGTTACCTCAGTGACACACTGTCCACATTTCACTGCTATCAACTTGTCACTTTCATTTCCAAATTATGTTAGCAGAATGTTGATAAGTTAACTCCTACAACACTATAGCATTATCTCACCTTGGTAGTGATCTCCATTAAAGAAGATATATTTTGAATGTCTTCCCTTCTTTTATAGTAAGCAAACTGTGTCCTTTGGCAATTGCTGTGTTTTTGTTTGTTTTACAGGCACTTGGCTGCTTGCTGTATAAACTTTGTTTCTTCACGCTTCCTTTTGGAGAGAGTCAGGTTGCTATTTGTGATGGAAGTTTTACCATTCCAGACAATTCTCGGTATACCCATCGTCTCCATTGTTTGATAAGTAAGTAGTTGGAGCAGCATTTAAAATATATTTGTGTTGCAATTATTACTCATTTTAATGCAGTGTTTTCCTTGTGCCTTTTCTTATGTTGTGGGTAACCATTATTAAATAGCATCCTTTAAATCAGTAACTTGAAAAACTTGATTAAATGTAATTATATTCTCTGCTGGCATGTTCTTTTGACCTTTGTAAGCTCAGAATTTTTTTTTGCCTTCACTGTTTGATAAACTCTGGTAATCTGGGATCCTTCATAAAAGGAGGAGGGATGCATGCATAGTAGAAACATTTTATGCAGGAAACTTTTTGTCTGAGAAGTTCTATTTTCTCTTATTTGTAGTTAACTGATAAGTCAGAATAATCAGTTCCATTAGATTATTAGGAAATTTGAAAATTTCTCTATAAAAAATTCACTCTGGCAAGTTGTTGTATTTAACTGAAATTTGCTTTATTTACTAAGCAGGCCAGTACATTTACTGATCTCGAATAAAACATCAATTGCTCCTTTTGAAATAAAAATTCTGTCTCTGAGTTCTTTTACTTCCTTTTTGGGGACTTCTTTTGTAGAACCACTCACTTGTCTGTATTGAAGACATGAAACAATAAATGTTCAATAGAACATTCAATTCATTACATTTCTAAAGTTTGCAACTTTAAAAAAAGTTTTGGAGTACAACAGTTAACAATTTTGATCATTTAAATAAATCTGTTTTGAGATGATACCCTTTTGTAAGAAGTGGACAGGTTGCTCTTGAGTTACGTTTTTCAAGCTCTCTAAGTAACTGTTTGCAAGGACATTTCTGCAGTAAGGAATGAGAGAGGAAAAAATGTACAGAAAACACTGGCAACATTGAGAAGTTGCTGATATCTGTATGTATGTAGAGTACAGTTTCCCCAGCACATACTTCCTATAGTTCCACATAGCACTATTACTTTGCCTTAAAATAATTCTTATAAAGTTTATTTATTGTTTTAAAGAATGATTATAATTACTTATTAAGTATTTGAAACACAAGTCCACACACATTCGTTCCCTTCTCCTCCCCCACCGAATTAAAATCAGGCTGCATTAATTGTAGATTAAGAGCCTTGCCACATGTTCAAATTTAAGCTGGATAGAAACCAGCTACAAAGTTGTTGTACATTTCCAAGCACTAACTTTGTATGGGTTGGCTCTATTTCTAGCTGAATGGACATTTTTATGGCATGAGAATTGCATTGAATATGTGGCTGGTCTAAATTTATTGCACAACTATCAGTTATACTCAAAATCTGATAGTTGTATATCAGCTATTACACAATTAACAATCAGTTAATTGTGTAATACCTGTAATGAGTGGCAGGGGCCTAAGAAAAGTTGGAGGAATATTGCCCAATTAGACAAGTCACAAATGCTATTCATTTTCACTAAGGAACTTTTTCTCTGGAGAAAAACAAACAAAGATGGCTCCAGAATTTTTGTCAGAATTGGTAGGTCCAGAATCCTGGTCATGCTAGTGACCAAGGAGATTTTCACTTGATGATGAAGTTTAATTTGAAGCAAATACTTTTTCAAATCCACCCTGTTTAATAGTTTTTTCATAGTACGTTTCTTAATTCCTGACAGCCTTACATTTCCAAGTGGTCAGAAAAAGGTATTTCCCAGAGTCGGTTGATAAAGTTGGGACTGACATCAGGTATACTCTTAAGTTTTTAGCTGCTTTAAAAATTTTCTTATTGAACCTTATCACCTGCTTAATTATTTTAAATGATTTTCACAGCCCTCCGGTTCCAGTAGCATTAGGTCTGAGGATAATAGAGGGAGCTGGCATAACGTTTAGCACAGTGCTGTTTTAAGTTTGTGCTAGGGCTTTCACAGCCTGGATAAGAAGCTGGGGATGGAACAATCAGGACAGTGATGACTTCTGATTTGGTGACATTATCTGCTGGGAAGGGATAGCAGCATTGCCACCTTACATAAGCACTGTTGTATGGGAAGTGGCATCAGATGGTAACCCCTGACATTTTCCCTGAAGTGATGCCTTTGATTTGAATGCATCAGTTTGTTTGTTTTCTTTGGGAAATGAACTTTAAAACATTTGTTGTTGTTTTAAATGGAGTTGCCCTCTGCGTCAGCAGGTGCTCCCTGGACAAGTTGCACAGCACTGAGCATTATTGCTATATAAATACCAGCATATACAAAGCTTTATACTCTCTTTGATCATTTTGATGGAAAATTGAAGCATTGAATAAACAAAAAACACATAATATGCAAAATTTCAAATTGCTAAGTATATATGGATGAAACTTAAATAATAATTAGTTTCTTAAGGGCCGTACTTTTAAACATAACTTTTTGGTTTCCAAGCTGCATTCTTTCATAATATGCAGAAGGTAAGCTTATGTGCAACTATGGAAGCATTTGCTTTCATATTTGTGTATTTGTTTTAATCAAAGAGTGACTTCTTTAAAAAATTTCAAGAACACTTTACATGCATCTGATAATTAAAATACCTTCTCTGATCAGCATGGATTAATAAGTCATGATTTTAATTAGCAAGGAAGAAACTGCTTGAACCGTTTTTAAATCCTGGTTTACTTTTTTGCTTTTTTGAAGAAAGGTTTATTTATTCCTGCTGGCTGGCAAATTTTCATGATCCCTTTCCTGACTAATGACCTATATCTGTGCACATTTTAGTTGTACAGTTATGTAGCTTAATTATTCAGATTCTTAATGTTTAGATTTTAAAGTTAGCAAATGAGGTAGTGTTGTATTAACTAGAAATTATTTTTAGTTTGTGACTTCCCAAGCTGCATTTGGCTAGAAGTTGGCTTTTGATTAAATGTACAAAAATAATTTCATTGAGTTAAACTTGTTGATTACTTTTCTCTTGCCAAGACATGTTATACACATAAGTGATCTATTAAAATGTTTGCCAATAGTGATGTGAAATAATTCGATAGGTTGATTAAATCAATTACACTTTGGAATGACTTTCAGGTTTAACACTTTTGATAATCAAAGCATGAACAAACTTAAACGTAACTTAAGTTTAAAATTTACTGTAAAGGAAATGAAACTTCCAAAAAGGGAAATGGATGTTTTTTTCCCTGAAGAAAAAGGTTTAATGCTTGATGGAACATTGCTCCAGCAAAGTAAATAGTAGTCTTCAAGACATGCAGGTCTCTTCTCTGAAAAGTTTGCAATCTAAAATCCATTAGTTCATTTTAATTAAATTAACATGATCTAGTTAGATGCAGATTGTTATCCATATAGAACGACATGCACGTGAAATGGGCACTGTTGAAATTGTATACTTGAATTCAGAAAAGCGTTACTTATTAAAAATACATGCTATGAAATAGTTTTCAAACCACAGAAGAAAATAATGAGCTGATTGGTTTTTAAATGCGCTTTCCATTGGTTTTTTGCTGCTACAAATGCAGGTCTTGGCAACTACTTTTTTGTGAAGTATCTAACATGAATATATTGACTTGCACTGGACATTTTGCTATTCAGCAGTGAAATAAAGTGCCATCAAGTGCAAGCTCAAACAAAGGGTAGTCTTTTTAGAATAAAGTATCAGGGTTGTGAAGAACATTCTTCACACAAATGGCCATAATAATTACAAAAAGGAACTGGCAGTATCCAATTTAAGAAAAATGTGTTCTGAGAACTTAAACAGAATTTTGTGTAACCTTCTCTGAAACTGGCACTCTAAATTCTGCTCCTACATGAAGTGTCTGCACGCATGTGTACGCACACATACATGGTTCTGTGTGTTAAATAAGGATTAATATATTATTATGATATTACATATTGTGTGTGTGTTTTCATTCAAGATTCTACTCCTATTTAAACATGAATTCCTATTCATCATTTTGCCTAAGATATGCACATTTATAGTTCCACAGGTGTGTGTGTACATGCACATAAATATGTATGTGCAGAGCCATGAGTAGAAGTTCATGTTTAAAGAGTAGCAGAATTTTATAGCAGATATAAAATATGAACAATAGGTACTGTTGTCTTCAGCAAAAATCTTTTTTCTTTTTTAATGTATCAAGTACTCATGAATTAAACCTGTCAAAAGCAGGAGTTTGTCATAAGTATTGCAGGGATTCTTGGCTTTTTCAACCTTCTTTTCTCTTAAACAACCCCACCTCCCCAAAAATACCCCAAAAACAAACAAACAACCCCTCCCTCAAAAAAACCCCTACCAAAAAACCAAAGCAAAACAAACAAACTTAACTGTTCCTTGAGCTCATGAAATCTTTCAGAAGACAACAGCATGAGTAACCTCAAGATTGCTGCTTTATCGCCAGTTAGTCTCTTGAGAGAAGGCATATAACAGATTTAAATTAAATTTCATAGGATATAGTAAAATTATGGCACATTATGAACCTTTCTGGGTTTAAAATTAAAAATCATTGCATATGTATGAAAACTATATTGCTAGAAGTTGCACTTAAAATTTCTCATCAGATTTTGGTTAAAGGTGGCTCTTTGGCTTTTGCACTATTTTGAAATGTGATCCCATATTCTATTTAAACAATATTTGAAAAATATAATCTACTTTTACAGGGTACATGCTGGAACCTGATCAAGAACGGAGACCTGATATCTTTCAAGTATCTTATTTTGCCTTTAAACTTGCCAAAAAGGATTGTCCATTGTCCAATATTAATGTAAGTAGTCTTGAGTCTTTGGTTGTTTTAGTGTGTATCCCACTATCATAAAGAAACCAGCAACTACTCTCATCATGTAAGAACAAGCAAGGACATGTCTGTTAACTTTTTCTTAAAACTTAATCCCTGTGTTGAAAATTTTTGAGATAATACATTTCAAATCAGTTATGTGATCTGAATTCTTGATTTGCGAAACTGAAACAAAAACTTCTTATCTTCTGGATAGTCTAGTAAAAGAGGTGGAATCGGAAATAGTTTCTGATAACAAATCTTCATATGCATCTTTATATTATAAAAACATATCTTTAAGTGAATGATATTTTAACCCTTTTTATGCCACTTCATTCCACAGAATACTATACAGTACCCACAAAGGAAAATGCATAATCTGTGGTTTTCCTGCTCACCTAATTTATATTATTACCTGAACCATATGTTGAAATGTACCTATGCATTTCGGAGGGAAAAGAAAAAAATTAAATTAGATTATGAAGACTATAATTTAAGACTCTTACAGTTATTCCTAAATGAGACATTATAAACCTAGGAAGTTCATTGGTAAGGCTAAATTTGGAATAAGACGTAATATTCTTATATAATAAAGGGCTTAGTTCATCTGTCTGTCTGTCTGTCCATAACACTCTTGGAGCACTCTGGTTAGTGAAGCAACAGCTGCTAGCCTTGTGTCCCCACCTCCCCCCAGCCCTGGTCCTGCTTCTTGGAGGCGGTGGAGTGCCACCATGACAGAGGGGACAGAGTTGGGGGTGGGGGACGAGGCCAGCGGTGCTGGAGGCAGCAATGGTGTGGGGTGCTGGTGGAGAGGATGGCAAGGCATGCTCCTTCCCCCCTTCTTTCCCCCCCGCCCCGCTCCAGGGAGGTGACGGTGACGATGGCATGGGTTGGTGGGTGGCAGCGCTCTGTCCCTTCCCACTCCGCTTCCCCCTCCCCCCATCTTTCTTGACGGGCAATTGGCTAGTATTATTATAAGGAAATAATTAGGTTGTCAGCATTTCTTAATGACATCCTGTTGTAATCATGGGGGAGGGTGGGGGTTTAAAAAAAGGGAGTCATATGACTGTGTCTCTAAATATCTAATAAGGGCTTCAAACACTAAGATGTCAATTGAAAGGAAATATTGTGTTTGGCATCACTAGAGAGTAGAGTTGAGTTACGTGTATTAGTAACTGTTTTTCATACCATATCATGTTTTAGATAGGTTTAAATTTAGCTCTAACTTCCCCTGAGTCTGTCCTCGGGGAAAATAGCGCGCCCTCTGTGCTGTGAGGAAGTAAAAGGCAATGCTGTGAGGAGTCGTCAGTGGAATCTATCTTGGGGAAGATTCTGTCCTAAGTCTCATTGGGAACAACTGGAGATGGCAGCTGTTTTGAAACCCTGTAATTTCATGGAGCTTCATGAAGAACAAAATATCTGTTGTTCTTAATTGAAAACTTTTCTGTCAGTGGAAGCTGAAGAAATATATAGCTACTCCCCCCGCCCATCTACATGTGCTTCTGTGGAGTACATGTGCTTCTGTGGAGCATCTACATGTGTTTCTGTGGAGTAAAAAACTCTGCAGTGTGGTGGTACTTGTAAATACAAGATGCACAATGTTTACTGCAGAGCTAATTAGTCTACTCCTCAGTTAATGTCTCATGTAGACATGCTGCCAACTGGGTAGTATTGATTGGCTTGGTTTCAACAATTACTACATGGGCAAAAGGCCTGAAGTTCTGTGTTTAGGGCTGAAGATTTGCCCAAGAGCCCTGAAATTAGTCAAGTATTGTTAAGATGTATGTTCTTTCTTTATTAAAAATAAAAATCCAGAATCTTATCTCCATTGGTGATTCTTTGGTCTAGCAAAGCTTATTTTAAAAATGAACACAGTATTTTTTTCAAGACTCGAAATAAATCTTACGGCATTTATTTGAAACATAATGCACATAGCAGATACTCATAATTTCATTGTTTTTTCAAAACAGCCAAAGCACTCTGGGCAGTATAATGCAATTGTAATTAATTGTAAGCTGAAACTAGTTCATAAGTCTTCAAATAAGTGTTGAGTATCATAAAGGAAAAGCCTCAAACTTCATTCAGAAGTTAGGTTTCATAAAAATCTAAAGACCAAAGTAAATGTGTCCTTAAATTTAAATTATTTAAAAGGAGGTATTTTAAAACAGATATTCCCCTGAATTGCTTCTAACCCAAATATTTCAGCATTAGCTTGGTCACAGTGCACAGCAAAAGCTAAATTACCTAGAGGATTTTTATTGATCAAAAGAGAAGATGGAAAAATGAAGTCAACTAGACTTTTAAAATTTCAGCTTTGATAAACATGTTAAGTGTTTTAAATTTAATGATATATTTTCATCTACAGCATTGTATCTGAGCCATTATTGAAACTGTAAATTAAGAAACCCAAAGAAGTCCAAATATGTCTCTTCAATTTGTAATGATTTTTTTCTTTCAGAATTTTATTTTTTAATTTATTCAAATGTATTTTTCCCAAGAATTCTTCTGTCCCTTCAACTCTTCCTGAACCCATGACTGCTAGTGAGGCAGCTGCTAGGAAAAGCCAAATAAAAGCCAGGTGAGTGAAGTGATGTAGAGCTTTGAAATCTAATAAATCTGTTTTGTGTATCTGCATCTCACTTACCTTGTTTGATTAGTATACAAAAACTTACACTGTTTTTTTTAAGAATCTGCTGAAGTTTTCTTTAGTATTTGGGAATGTCCATCTTTGGATATCAGTAAGCTTGTATTTTACTTGCACTTATTTCTTCTTGCTGAAACATGTATGTGCACAATGATTGGACCAAGAAGTCTATAATGGAAAGAAACTAGAAAACATGTTACATTTCTTAACTATTTTTTGAAACATTTAGTCTGACTAAATTTCAGCTAACCTCTCTGAGATGATGTTCAAGGTGGCTGCCAAGCAGACAAAAGGCATTATCATTTTTGTTTTTGCTGCTTTATACTATTTCAAAATTTAAATGGTTAAAACTGTTTTCAGTTCTTACCTTTTCAAATAGGTATTCTAAATCTTGCCTTATTTATTTTGGTGGAGGTCCAGTACACTGTAATGGTCTGAGATTTTTAATCTATGGGAGATTGTCAACAGATTTTTTTTCAAATTCAGGGTTTCAACTAGTCTATATAAAGACTTTCATTCTTCATTGCCTGTGTTTCACTTTGTGAATACTATGGATGACTGGTATGTTATTCTGGGAGAAAATTAAGAGAAATCCTGATTTATTTATTTTTTTTCTGGTTTGTTTGTTTGTTTGTTTGTTTGTTTGATGTAAGAAAGCACAATAGAAAACTTTTGGAAGAAGAATCTATTCAGAAACTTGAAAAAGCAGAGATGTCACGATACAATTGTTTTCTGTGAAGTTCACCTATGAATAGGTTGAAGTATGAATTCTGAATGATTTTTTTCTGCAAGCTTTCAGGCTCAAATGCCCTTCATCAGGTTCTGGGAAAATTAATGATGGTAAAAAGTCTCCATAAGTAGGAAATAAACTTCATTTTTGCATAGAGGGAGCTGGAAATGGAAAATCTGTCCCTTTCGGTTCAGGTGAGTATCTCTGTGATTTGTTGAGTACTTGGACCAACACAGTTACCAAATACATCCCTGAAACATGGAGGATGCTGAATTTCAGCTGATTTTGGATTTTAAACTTCATTGCAATACAACAAAGATTTTAAAACCTCCCTGCTTGCCATCTGACACTCCAGGGAAGGAATCGTACCTAATTTACACAACAAAGAGCAACTCTGAACAACTTATAGAAACACTCTCGTGGACCCAGAGGGACAGATTTTCTATCTTTAGCTTCCTCTGTGCAAAAATGAAATTTATTACCTACCTATGGGGACTTTTTACCATCTTTTAATTTTCCCAGAGCCTGATGAAGGGCATTTGAGCCTGAAAGTTTGCAGAAAAAGACAGGTTTTTTTGCAATTTCCTAGTTGGTCTAATAAGTTATCATTTTTGAACCAAGGGTTCTAGACTTTTGTATTTCATAACTGGGTGTTAACTTTTGAGACTACTTGCTTATAAAATGTCTTTTGAGTGGCTTTTTAATTTAATGTTTTTTTCTGCTAAAAGATCAAAGGGCAAACTCACAACTTGCAGTTAAACTTGAGTGATATGCATTTGGGTAATTTCTGAACATAGGACTGTGGCTGCAAAGTCACCTTGGTGCTTTTGAGACTCTTTTTTTCCTCATAATCTCAGAATACTGTATTGCTACAAGTGTTTAAAACAAACAAAAAAGACCCCCTCTCCAATTATTTTTAAAGGCCAGAAAGACAGCCTCAAAATTCTACAGATTACTGACCACCATGGAAGGGGAAGAGAAGATTCTGTAATTTTTTTTTAACAATATTTTTTCCTTATTGAAGTTTTTAGTTTCTGGAAAGCTCTGTGTTGGCCATGGTACAGTTGCAATACAGTTCGCTGAAACTTTTACAGAATTATATTTATAAATATATGTTGGTTGTAAGGGATAAGTAGGAACTAAACAATTTAAGTTGATCCTGAATAAATATGCTTCTATTTGAAAGTTGGTCATAATTAATTAAATGTCTCCTATGAACATTTTTCACTGTAGAATAACAGATGCCGTTGGACCAACAGAAACCTCAATTGCACCACGACAAAGACCAAAGGCTAATTCAAGCACTGCCACTTCTAGCGTGCTGACGATCCAGAGTTCGGCCACACCAGTGAAGGTACCAGCTCCTGGTGAACTTGGTAACCGTATGCAAAAAGGTAAGTGACCCAAGTTAAATAAACAGCAGGAAAACAGTGAGAAACTTGTCTTTATTTCTTGCTTGCTTCTTTTTTGAATGCTAATTAGCTTGGAGAGAGTACTGTGTTAACATGATGTCACTGTTTTTGGTTCTGAGCTCACATGTGCAGAGCTAGATCATGTGCTGCTTTGTGCCTTCTAGAAGTTGCTGGATAAGAAGCAATTTGAAATTATAATCAAATGCATATTTTTCTCAAGGCTACTGTCCAGCAAGTAATTACCTAATAAAGGCTGCACAAAAAGAACTTGGTGGTCTTTGAGCACTTAGTTCAGTGTATTTGTAATGCATTGCAAATGTTTGTGTCAGTAGGCTATAAAGTCTATACATAACAAATACTTTTAGATGTGCAAATTTATATTTCGTTAAACTAAAGAACAACTGTATTGCACCTATATTGTGGGAGGCTCCAGTGTTTACCTTTTATGCATGGGTACTTTCTGCTTAATTCTCTGGTAGGGCTGGGGACAGACATTACATACAAACCAGTTTAAGTGATCAGAAACTGGTTTAAACCTGTAACAGAACACATGAAAATGGCCGAAACCGGTTTAAGATAAACCTGGTTGAATGTAGTATCAGACTTAAGTGATTTGGCTCAAACTGGTTTATCCAATGTCGGTCTCAGACCCCTTGCTGATTTTAAGATAAACCAGACTCCTCCAGCATCCTGGCATGCTCTCTGGGCTGGGCAGGGCTCTCAGCTCTGCAGCAGAGCTGGGACCTCCCCTCTGCTGCCTGGCTGGAGCTGTCAGACTGCAGGTATAGCAGTCTGGCTGGCTTTCCCCCACCCTTGCTGCTCACTGCTGAAGCAGGAATCCCCCCCAGACCCCTTGCTGATTTTAAGATAAACCAGACTCCTCCAGCATCCTGGCATGCTCTCTGGGCTGGGCAGGGCTCTCAGCTCTGCAGCAGAGCTGGGACCTCCCCTCTGCTGCCTGGCTGGAGCTGTCAGACTGCAGGTATAGCAGTCTGGCTGGCTTTCCCCCACCCTTGCTGCTCACTGCTGAAGCAGGAATCCCCCCCCCCCCATGTACGTGTCTCCGGTTTCACTGGGGCAGGCAGACAGAACAGTGACCGCTTAGGGCTTTTTGGAGCTAATCAACAGGTCAACTGGTAAGCTGTTTAAGAAGAGTTTGAACTAATGGAGAGAGGATGTTGTTTTTCTGATGGGGTGATAAACACTGTTATTGCCTCCCTGTTGACTTGCTTGCCTGTCAGTTTGGTGCAGACAGCATAAAGAAGCAGGGAGGGAGATTGAAAAGCTCTATATCATCAACAGATGCATGCACTTCACACCCCCCTCTTGCCTTAGAGTGCTAGCAGGGGTCTGGGGGCTGGCAACAGCGAGTGGAGAAAAGCCTGGGATGGTGCAGGCAGTGTATGTTTGGTTACAAACTGGTTCAGCCTAGCTAGGTTAGATTAACCTGCAAAGCTTGGATCAATTCAGGCTCAGGCTTTTTGAATGTCTGTCCCTAGCCCAGGTGTAGAGAATAATCCACAATGTCCAAATACACATTGGTGTGGACAGACACATTACATAACGCATAACAGTTTATATTGCATTACGGTCAGAATGGTAAGAATGAAATAAAATAAATAGTAAATGTAAGTATCAGGTGGTAATTTATTGGAATCTTCTGGGATTTGTGAGGACAATTGGAGCATGTTCAGTAAAGCATAGCCCTTATCCCAGTCTCCTAGGTGGCTTAGAAAGGTATGGTCTTAGGAGCCAGGAGAGTTTTGCATGTGGCTAAGCTGGAGTCAGATTCAAGATTGAGAATCCTATGAGAGATGTTCAGAAAGGATTCTCATAAATTTAAACCTTCTCAAACTGTTAAAAAAAAGTTTGTAATAGTAGTTTACAATAAGAGTGCTAAAGTATAAATGCAGCTGTTACCAGCATGTTTTATGCTACTGGATTTCATAAACAAATGAGTTAATGTAATATTAAAAAAATATTAGGAACCATGCAACCTGGAAATGGACAAGATATCTTGTTGTCCCAAGGGACCAATCAGCACCCTTCTCAACAAAATAGAGTATTGCAGCAATTGCAGCAGGGGGATTGGAGATTACAGCAACTGCACCATTTACAGCACCAGCAGCAACAGCAGCAACTACTTCAAGATGCTTACATGCAACAGGTATGTGCTGATCTTACTGAAGAAAAATCCAGTTTTAAAGATAGTTAAATGCATGAAGCAAGGCCACTTTAAACTTTAAATCTATATTTTAGTTATGAAAAATATTTTTTTCTGCTGACGTGCAGGCTGTCACTTTTTTCCAGGCAGAAAGCAAAGGTTTGTCTACCCCTCCCATGCCCTTTCTCTGTTGCATATGTGGCATATCTGTGCATAAGAACTTATAATGTTTACCTTATTGGCAAGTTGCATTTTATATGCTAAATAGATGCTTTTTTGTCTTCCTACTTTAACTTTTATTCTGCCCGACTTCTGAATTTAATTCTTGTTGGCAATGGTTGTCAGGAATAGCTGGTTCTTTAAAGATACCATATCTGCAGGATTCTCACTCTTTTTGGTCTTGCCTCCTTATCAGTGTGACTCTTTTCTGATTATAGAGGACAATGTCTTTAAGAGCATGAGCTGTGTTCCCTTATAGTTGGTGTGCACCATCCCTTGTTACTAACATTCCCTTAAACGTTCTGATGCTTTTTGGGCCATGGCCAGTCAAGGTCAACTCCCCTCTTGGATTCCAAGGTTTCAGCTCTTCTGTTGACTCTGTGTGTTCTTATCTGATATACTTGACAGACTAAGTCTGCATATGAGTGCCTGAGTTGCTGAAGAGAATTACATTTTATGGGGATACTTTTTTACTGGACCAACTATGTAGTTGGGTTAAAATTAGATAAGCTTTCTGATGCTAGACGTTCTTTGTCAGGACCTGAATACATAGTCGGTCCAACCAAAGATATCGCCCTCAGAAGTCCTTTCCTCTCTCATAATATCTGGGCTTTTGTGGCTACAACATCACTCTTACACTATCATTATTTTATGCTTCTGTGGTGTGCTTAAAATGGTGCTGTAAATAAAAACATGACATAATTTAAAAAGGAATTTAACAGTGAGCAGGTTTGACAGATCTTCTGGATCCATAATGTTTTTTTCTGCTTTGTGAAGTACTCAATTCAATTCAATTCTCATTTAAATGTTTACTTAAAAATAGTCTAAATACTTGCCAACATTTTAAATCTTGTACTAGAGTGATCACCTTAATGCAGTGGTGTCAGATATGGCCTACGGGCTGGATCTAGCCCATGGAGCCCTATGATTTTGCTCATGGGTCTCAGACCAACCCTGCAGCTAGTTTGGTGTGCAGGCTGAACCCAGTGTCATGTAGGCTGCATGCAGCAGAGGGGGCCAGCATGGGGCATGTATCCTGCCTCTCCACATCTGCCCTGTGTTCTTGTGCTGGCACAGCCTGATTTGGACTGGCCCTGATACCAGCAAGCAGGGTCAGTCCAGCAGGTACCCTGTGCAGTGTGCACCCATGGCTGGCCCAGTGTACCACATGCAGAGCAAGCCCTGGAGCAGGACCAGGGCATTCTGAATGTGGCACATGGGGTTGGACTGACTGCATGAACTGTGTGTGGCATGGGGCTGGCACAGAACCTGTGCTGCATGTGGTGGCCTGCAGACAAGCCCAGCAACCCTTCTCTGGTGTGCAAGGCTGTATGAGTTTGACACACCTATTTTAATATGTTGATTTTAGTAGTGACTTTATTTTTCTTTAATTGTAACTTTTTCATGGAAAATGCTGCTGATGTGTACATGCACACACATTTATTTGAAACTGAATAGGATCATTAGACCCATACATCACATCAACACATGCACGGATGTTTGGTTCCCCAGGGACAACTAGCAGCAGGACACCTCGTGCCACTGCTAGTTGTCACCAGGGAAGGCCTGTGCCATGTGCCCTCTGGCGCGTGGCAGGTTACCTCGGATGGGGTAGGGGAGGCTGGCCCGAGCAGCCTTACCTGGGGGCCTCCTGGGGCTGCAGCAGTGTCAATCCTGCTGCTTGGAGCAGGCCAAAGTGTGGCTACAGTTTTGAGCAGTGTGCGCTGCCCCGGTTTGCCCTGCTCCACATTTTTTTGCACGCATTTTCTTGATCCCTGGATATCCAGGGGTAAACAA